AACGAATGTGTTTGAAGAGATCATGGGAAAAAAAAAAAAAAAAAAAAAAAAAAAAAAACAAGAAAGGAAAGATAAATAACATTTAGTTATAAAAAACTCACCGTATCACTAAGCATGCTTAAAAAGATACGAACGACTTATTTTACTACTTGTTAGAAATTGAAAGAAATTGTGATTTAAATTTATTGCTCAGTCAGACTAACATTATACACTAATAATTACAAATCATCAGCTTCAAAACAAAACCAAGATGTAGCTTCAATGAATAATAAAAAAAAATATGGTTAAAGTCACAGTTAGTTACAAATGGCTTCAACAGAAAATATGCAAACATAAAAAATTTTACGAAATATATGAACCCCTAATGCAGGGGTGGCCAAAGTGCGGCTCGCAAGCCTGATACGGCTCTCGCAGGCAATTTGTGTGGCTCATGCATATAAAATATATGTATGAAATATGATAAACTAAAACTATTTAGTGTCCAAAAGGAAGTAATTAATTAGTTTAGACTCTTCTTACAAAGTTATCAGGGTTTTATTTTTATTTAAAACCTCCTCCACTACTTGTATAATGATATAAATATGAACTTGTGGCTTTCAGAAAATCTAGATGCGGCTCTCGAACATTCCTGAATTCAAACGTACGGCTCTTACTGACATGAAGTTTAGCCAACCCTGCCCTAATGGCTTATCTGCTCAACCAATCAAAATGAAATTTCAGATATTGCAGTTTGAAGATATGCCCTAGAGACTGCAATGATTTAAAACAATAGAGCTCAGTTAATTTCATGCACAGGCAAATTGTACACCCTAACATATGTAATAAAATTATGAGAGACAGAGATTTCATCCCAATGTCTGTATGATTATTTTATTGAAAACTCATTTAATTATCTATAAGCTCACATTTAGATACCTTAATTACATTTTATGATGACGGTTTCAAAAAAATGAGCGATTATTCAAAGCAAGAAAAAGAAGTTTTCATTTATTTAGCTTACTGAAAAGTGAATGCATGTCTAGATTAAGTCTGAATGATTATGAGTGAAGAATCAAAATGTCCCATATCAGCCCAATTCATTATATTATCTCCTAATATAAATTTATATATATATATATATAGTACAAAGTCCGAAATCCGGATGTCCAACATCCGGAATGATCTAAAATCCGGACCTCAAAACCACCAACAGTTTTTTTATTGTAGGCTTTATGCATGCACATTTGATTCCCCTCTCTGCACATAATAAAACATCTGAAGAGTCCAGATTCTTAATTTCACTTTGACATTAAATAAAATACCTTGTTATTGAAGAAACAATCATTTTAGCATAAATTTGTACAATCAGTAATTTGGCTACATTGCTGTGTATCTGCTTGGCACACATCTCAAACCGAAATATTCCACATAGATACATCGTTAATCTGACACCAACCTGGTGAATCATTATTTATTATACATCCCTTTCATCACCGCATGTTTATCAAAACATGACTACTTAAGTAATGACTCATGTAGTGATGCCTAAACAATTTTTTTTTTTTTTTATGTTAGTAATTGAATAATCAAGGAGTATGGTAAGCTTTTATGTTGATATTATGCCTGGCGATGATTACAGATTAAAGTTAAATGCACTAAAAAATGTTGACGAGGAAAAATTTAACAACAATTTCTTTCCTTATGTTAAAAATAGATTTTGTTGATGATACCCAAAGATTACATTTAGGGCTATTTGAATTAAGAATAACTGATTTGTTATTCATATAAACCCAGAACCAGCGCTAGGGCACGTAAGGCCACACCGAGTCACAGAATTTAGGACCTACAGAGACTGCATCAGGTGTTTAAGATATCTAGCGCCGGTCCTCAATAAGACTTAAATATATGTGAGAATTAATTTATCCAGAAGCCTGATAAGCTTTAAGCATGTGCAAAAAGTATAATAAATAACTAACTAATACAATTCAGGCTTAATTGTATTAGTGTGCGATAGAAGCAAGATAAAATTTAACGGAACAACTTGTCGTTAGTCACCAAACTCATGATGCATAGCCAAATATGTATAGTGAAGCATAGCTAAATTTGATGATGATAGCCGCTAATTTTAAAGGTTTCCGATATCACAAAACAAAGGTGAAATTTTAGAATTGACGAATTTTGTAAAGAAATGGGGAGAAGCGGTAATAAATGAGATGATATAAAAGAAATTTTTCATTGTGATGACAATGCTTCTCAATAATCAATCAATTAATGAATGGCGAAATCTGTAGTATGGTTCTAGATCCAGAAAATACCACTACCGATAATGAAAAAAGTGACAGAGAAGTTACTGAAAACGAAAAAATTTGACAAGTTAGTCGATTGACAAGTTAGTCAGAATTCTCGACACAGCAGTTACAGGACTTCAACAATGTAACTAAACAAGAGATTATGTCTGTCTACAGAATTAAAGAGATAGTATTAGTTACAGGACTTCAACAATGTAACTAAACAAGAGATTATGTCTGTCTACAGAATTAAAGAGAAAGTATTAGCACAAAAAACGAAGCAACTTAAATACCTTACATTGAAAGAAATGTTTAATAAGGTTAGCAAATAAATATTAAGCTCTTTTTTCGTAAATTTTGATCATATCATAAATACTTCATTATTTCATAAATCACGATTTCACATTTTTAATTTTATAATTTCTACATGCTATCTTACTAGATTTAACTGATGATCTAATATCCAGAAAAATACCAAATCCGGAATCGCTGAAGTCCCGACGAGTCTGGATTTTGGACTTTGTACTGTATATGTATACGCTGAACAGCCAAAACATTATGACCACCTACTCAATAAAGCCTTGTGCAGGCCTGAAAAACAGCTGCAACTTGCCTTGTCATGGATGCCACAAGTTCTTGTAGATGACTGGAGACAGGTTGAACCAAATGTCTAAGCATTGGTCATGCAAAGTCAAGATATTCTGACATGGTAGTATTTGAGCACTGAGCTGCCACTCCACGACATCCCAAATGTGCTCTATTGGATTAAGATCTAGCGAGTTAGGTGGCCAGGACATTAATTGCAATTCGTCCTTATGCTCCTCAAACCATTCCAACGCAATACGAGCCCTCTGACATAGGGCATTTTCCTGCTGGAAGATTCCATTTCCAGTTGGGAAAACAGACATCGTGTAAGGATGCAACAGATTCATAATTATGTTTGAATAGTCCACAGCTTTCATGGTTTGTTCTGCCACAACTAAAAGTCCCAGAGACTGCCATGAGAACATCCCTCAAAGCATCATACTGCCACCAGCAGCCTGTATGGGACCTGCATTATGGGAGAAGCAATTGTTTGCCTGGCGACCGAGTACCCTGACATGCTCGTCGACAAGATAAATGAGAAATCGTGATTAATCCGACCAAGCAACTGTCTTCTACTTATCCATGATCCAGTCTCGATGTTCCCAGGCCCACTGTGGGAATAGTTGACACAAGACAGGAGAGGTAAAAAAAAATTTATTGGAATTGCAAATTTTCAAATTGAACACCTTCACAGATGATAATACATAACGTGTAAGATTTTTGATAACAATGACAAATGTAACATTACTGCAGGAATCTGTATAACTTCACATTTTATGGCACCTTTCAATTCTCACAAATCTTGTAGATTTGATGTGAACACCTTTGTTTTCAAATAACCCCAGAACCAGAAATTCTTCGGAGTAAAGTGGGGGACAGCAGTGGCCCTGAAACGGCCAAGTTAGAGAAGATGACTTTATCTTGAACCATTGTACACATTAAAATCTTGTAGTTTCAATAAAACATTTTCCCTCTTCTCTCTTATCTTGTCATTGTGTTTATAATGCTCTTCTTTGTAAAAATTTTACACTAGCAATTTCCATCATATGTGTATTGTTCCAATGTCATTTATGGTTTATCAGTGTCCTGATCAATTTGTGCAGGTAAAAAGTGGATGCTGCCATTAAAAATTTCAAAATGCTTTTACTCTAATCATAACCATGAGAATTCTATGGTTTCAAACCATCACAATCTCTAGCACCTTCAAATAACACTGCTTGAAATTTCGTTTTGATTGATTGACCAGATAGGCTGCTAGGTGCTCATAGACTGGGGAAGTTTTTTATGACCACCTTGTATATAAGCTAGTAAGAGCTACTATGCAAAGCAATATAACTGCCTGTTAACCTATCTAATATTAATAAAGTGATATGCTTAAGGAATTAAAATCACATATCTGAAGATTTTTATTAAACACGCAAATATAAAAAAGTCCTGATTTACTAAGGTAATGCCGGGAATGATATCAATTGTTAACAAAATCTCGGTTAATCTTAGAGGAGTTAAAAACTGCAGGAAGGAAAAATAATCCATAATAAAATTAACAGGAAAATATTTTTACCAATTTACTCGTACTTTCAAGCATTCTCCAGAATACGTTTCTTTGGTCATATAATTTAGTAACATTGAGTATTGAAAAAAAAAAAAAAAGAACACTTTGTAAATAAGGAAAAAATTAACTTTACCACAAGTGAAGAAATCAAATAAGTGGCATTAATGAATAATATTTACAAAAGAATATGAGCCTTGAGTTAAAAAACCTATGAAAAAAAAATAGTTGGTTTCAGTCTCCCCCCCCCAACTGTGCAATTTTGGATTAAGTATAATTTAAATTGCATACTGGTGTGAATTAAAATAGTTTCCAAACAATATAACATTATCTACTTTGTTATTAGCTTATGAATTTTTCTTTTCCTTTTCATATTTTCGACAGACAGTTCTCTTTTATGCTGTTGTTTTATGATTGGTGCATTTATGTTGCTGGCTAGTGGTTTTTTCACTATTCTGCAATAGACTTTACCCCTTTATTTAGACAGAGCCAGGTTAATCCACCTGTAGTTATACAGGAATTGACTGTATCTATATTTGAACAAACAATGCAAACTTCAGTGGAATTCACATAAATTGAAATTTACTGAAAATACTTACAACTTGCCATTTTTCCTTCACAATATGGCCAGGCTGAAGAAGGTCTCCAGTACTTGATGGAGCAGTCTCAAGTCCTTTAACTGACATATCTGTCAGCTGAGATTCAAGACTAAAAAAAATATATATATATATATACACACATGCATATAATATTTGGTACTTAACATATTATTGCAACCATCTTAGTAGAAGTCACCAAATTTTCAGAATGTGCCAAAATCTGGCAACCATGCTCATAACAATAGTTCAGCCAAGCAATGCCTAGCCTAGCATTTTCATGTGTATGCTCTTTGTTATATTCCAAGTTCCAATGGTTTTTACAGACAAATCATGATATTTTCTACTTTCAACTTAATTTTAAAATATTGCTTGTAGAAAATTGGCAGCAACAGAAGTTTTGCACAAATACAATATACTGCTACAAATTTGCTAATGGGAACAACAAAATCTGATATGAGATCTATATTGTCTTTTCTATTTCTGCTTTAAACAGGGGGATCTTTCTGTTCAATCTTGTACTTATTTATTGATGCTTTTATTCTGAAATCATACTGAATATGTATAATTTTAATTAATTTAATTTATAGATTAAAATATAAAAATATAAATTTAGATTCAAATTTGTTGAGAAAAAAAGTACCATTCTGCTAACTAATAAAATAGCAAAGTTAATACTTGATCAACTAAAAATTTTAGTGGCTTAGAATATTATAAGCTAGAACCTAAGCTTCATATTTTAGACTTGATGAGGATTTAATTAGTCTCAAAACACAGGACCTTCCAAAATTCTTCTAAACATCATGCACTTACATCTCAGCATAAAACAGCAGAGACGCCACCCTGAAAATGTGTTGCTTTAGAAATTAATCCTTAAATCTGAAGACTAAACAGTTAAATTTCAGACAGGAGGGGAAAGAGGTATTGAAATGCAAAATGTACATGCAAAATTTGAAAGATAATTCAAGAATGAATTCACTGACTTGCATCATTTTGTCACACCAAATTTATTTAAATTCCAGGCTTTTGGGAACTGATTTAGAAAGCAGCTGTAAACTAAAATCCACTTAACAATATCTGTCAATAAATTTGAAGCTGACTTTTTGTTTTTTAAGAAATTGTTCATTAAATACACCTGCTTGAATTTTACATCTAAATACAGGGTGATTCACAATTCCTTTCAGGATTAAAAAGGTTATAGTACAATAACTATAAAAATTCCCCCAAAAAAAAGATGTTTACAGTACATAATCTGAAAACTTTTCGATACATAATAGGCCCATTACATAACTGTAGTTTTAGCTGGTACAGATAATTTTTCTTTGAGAAGCAAACTGCTATGGTGTAGTGTACGTAAATATACATTGCAGTACTAACCAAAGCTGTAATGACAAAGACAGCAAGAATTTTGTTTATCAGCAAGACAAAATTTTCCATGTTTTCATAATGGTGTCCACACTTAATTTCAGTGCTAAACTTATTGGTGGCTGTATTGGATATGATTTAGAAATGACTTTTTTCTTCTTCCATGATCATGATGCTAACCCTGTAAATTTTTTCTTGGGAAAAATTTCATCAGATATTATGTTGTGCTTTTTTTTTCTTTTTTTTTTCCCACATAATTTAGTATAATTGTGAGAAAGAATCGTGAATGCAGCCACTGCTAACAATCATAACATGTTGGAACATCTGTGCAAAGAATCAGATTTCAAAACTTCTGTCATAGCATCAGGGATGCACATATCAAGTACCTGTAAGATATTGAAAAAAAACCAGTAAAAATTGTTTACATATTGAAACACAGCTTTCCTGTATTCGTCACAGTTAACTATAAATTTTCAAAATCCAAGAAGGAATTATGAATCTTCCTGCATATGGTATTTTTTAACTACTGATTAAAACATAATATTTTACAATCTGGAATTTTTGCTCTACAATGACGGTATACAGTGTTAACATTACATACTAACAGAACTCTCCAACCTAGAAATGAAATGTTTATTTAAGAATTTCCACCTTGTTTTAAAAACGCCTGAAACTGGAAGGATCCTGTCTAGAAGCATTTAAGGAAGTATAATCTGCAGTCATCATTTTTTCTTTACACCTTTAGCTGTACAAAGATTAAAGTACTTAATTCTTGATGATAATGCCAAACCTGCAACTTAAGACTGTATCTTCAAACAGAAGGCACTCAATTAATTGCTTTTAAAATTTCCACACTAAATATTTCCTATTTACTTAAAACTACTTTATTTGAAATGTTTCCCACTGATCTTAACTAGACCATAAAACTGAGAAATACCTTTTACAAATATGTACAGTCAAAAGTCGTTAATTCGGACACCCATAATCCGGACCTCAAAGCTAAAAACTTTATGCTCATGCGCCTCGGCGCATAGGGATTTACGTGTGCGCAAGCCCAGAATACATTTTCGCGTGCACGTTTAATGTATAACGGATGGTATAAGCTAAATTTATTTAATTATCTATTTCAGTTAATGTTGATGATTGCGTTGTTCCTTAATCTTCGAATTGGATCTGGCTTATTATTTTTTGCAGACTGTAAGAGCAATTTTATAAAAGTAAGCTTGAACTTTCGATTATGTCAAATAGAATTTCCGATGCTGGAGCTCCAAAGGATCTACAAAATGAAAGTATATTTCGATGTCCATCAAACAAAAAGTGGAATTGCTGCAAAAAATGGATAAAGGCATATCCTTTGTTTATCTAACCGTTCCGAAATCTGTTTATTAATTTCATGCTGCTCTGCGTGGGGGGGGAGGGGGAACGTTGCGGCGCACAATGAACTGGAAGTTGATCTGTCAGCTCTATCGTTATCTTCAGGGCAGACGTTTTTATTTTATTCGGCTTATAATTCCTTACTAAATGTAGTATTTCATCTCGATGTACTCCGTCTTTGATATGATTTAAATCAAATTCCTTGTCATTATAAATATCACGAATACAAATCAAATAGTTTTCTGGTTGCAATTTTCTAATTTCGGCTATGCGTAATGTATGCTTTATACATGCGCGCATTTAAAGAAATGTTTAATAAAGTAAACAAATAAATATTAAGTTTTTTTTTTTTTTTGTTTTTGTTTTTTTGTAAATTTTGATACTCTTTAGATCATAATTGCTCATTTTTTTATAAATTACGGTTTCATATTTTTAATTTTATAATTTCTGCATGCCATCTTACCAGATTTAAACTGATGATCTATAATCCGGAAAAATCGATAATCCGGAATCCCGAAGTCCCGACGAGTCCGGATTAAAGACTTTTGACTGTATGCACAAGAAAGTAGAAAATTATGATAAACATACTCAAGAATATAAAAATTAAGGATGACAAATTTAAATCTGCAAATCACACAAATTAAAAAAAAAACACAGTTCCTTTTTTTTTTTTTTTTTTTCATAACTCAACACCTTTAAATTCTAACCCTCCCTCAATATTCAAAGAAAGGCTAAAGAGTTTAACATTTTTTAAATATTAATTGTGCTGTTTCCGAACAGAAGTGTTAATTCAAAAATTAAATACAGCTATAGCAATTTTATGGGTACATGGATAACCAGCACCCACTCGTAAAAGTTTTGAATGTACCACTACCTCGATATAATTTTATTCAAAATCTTTGCCAAACTAAGGTTGCTTTTTCTTTCCTTAATTGATGCATGTCTTTTTCATTTGAAATGCAGGCATATTTTCAAAAACTATATTCTTATATTTATTTACAACTCACACATTTTAAATTTTACTTTAATTAACTTAATATTACTATAGGCACATGAAGGATTCAAGAAATTTGAGATTCAAGAGATCAGAGAAACTTTTAGGATTTGCATTCAAGTAAATTAAGGATTTGACCTATTCAAGCAAATATTAATACGATTAAATGAGTCTGAATCCACAGTACTCAGATATATGTTGTTTAAATTATTATTGTTTCAAACTAATAATGTAAATAATACTGTACTATGAAAAAAATGAGCTATGAAAAGCCAAGTTATATCTGATCATTTGTCAGTTATCAATTACTTAGTAAAAAAGATATTACTTTTTTGCAGCTAATGATCAGAATATAATCCAGCATTAAGAAAATCATCAAAAGGATAAGTCCTGAAATTTATTGAAACCTTATATTGATAGATTTAACACTGTCAAAACACTCTTAAGTATATATAAAAAGCAGTTAAACTCAAGAATTTAAACAGTACTCTTAGGGAAGATTTTGTATAAACAATTTTTGAAAAATGCAGAAAACAATTTTTTCAATATTCCTAACACAGATTCCTTTAAATTCAAAAGACAGATCAAGGTCTTATACAAGTATCCATCTGAATTCTGGATATTCATTATGTTTTCCTGCCTTCAGAAATTTGGCACAATTAACAAATATCAGTAAAAGTATATGAATACCCCTTGGCGAAAATTGGCGATTTTTGGTGGTACATGGATACCAAGTTTGCGATTTAATCGCCGCTACCACAAAGCCAAAATAGCAAGTCAAAGAATTGCACAAACTTGGTATCCATGTACACATTGACCTATTTTCACTTAAAAAAACATCACAGAATTGCACAAACTAGGCACAGCACACTCCCTTGACTTTATCCATGAACATGTCAACCTATTTTCACTTAAAAAAAATTAGAAAATTGCACACTCCCTTGACTTTGTCCATGTACGCATTGATATATTTTCACCTAAAAAGTCAAAGGAGCACCCAGTTCTAGGTAAAAGTATATTTACAGAACATTCAACTACTCAGGTTACCATAAATAAAACAACTTGCCGATAAATGAAACAACAACTTCACAGTAATACAAGGGGTACCCTTCAGTCTACTCTAACCCAAATATCAGGTAAACATAAAAAATACATTTTCATTTTGAAATCAGTACACAAAGTAAACTTCTTTCAACCCACATACATAAGAGGGAGAAAATAAAATTTTCCATTTTTATAGGGTGTTTCTTCTATTCCGCATGTAACTAAACCGAGATGCCTGGTGAAAACATCAAAATATTTTTGCTCCTTGTTTAAAAAAACAAAAAGAGAGAGAGAGAAAGAAAAGCAAAACTGCACCAGAGAAAAAAGATTTTAAA